GGGGACCGGAGGGTGTGTCCCAACTACAGGGGGATCACACTTCTCAGCCTCCCTGAGAAAGTCTATTCCGGGGTACTGGAGAGGAGGGTGAGATCGACAGTCAAATCTCGGATTCAGGAGGAACAATGCGGTTTTCATCCTGGCCGTGGAACACTGGACCAGCTTTATACCCTTGCAAGGGTACTGGAGGGGGCCTGGGAGTTTGCCTATCCAGTCTACATGTGTTTTGTGGATTTGGAAAAGGCTTACGACCGGATTCCCCGAGGTGCTCTGTGGGGGGTGCTTCGGGAGTATGGGGTCCAGGGTCCGCTGTTGTGGGCGATTCGGTCCCTGTATGAACGGAGCAGAAGCTTGATCCGCATTGCCGGTTATAAGTCGGACATGTTCCCAGTGCGGGTTGGGCTCCACCAGGGCTGCCCTTTGTCATCGGTCCTGTTTATAATATTTACGGACAGGATTTCTAGGCACAGCCAGGGTGTTGAGGGTGTCCAGTTTGGTGGCCTCAGGATTGCCTCGCTGCTTTTTGCAGATGATGTCGTTCTGTTGGCTTCATCTGCTGGGGATCTCCAGCGTGCTCTGGGGGCGGTTCGCAGCCGAGTGCGAAGCAGCGGGGATGAAGATTAGCACCTCCAAGTCCGAGACCATGGTTCTCAGCCGGAAACGGGTGGATTGCCCTCTTCAGGTCAGGGAAGACGTACTGCCTCAAGTGGAGGAATTTAAGTATCTTGTTCACGAGTGAGGGTAGGCGAGATCGGGAGCTGGATAGACGAATCGGAGCGGCGTCTACAGGTTTGCAGGCGCTTAACCGGTTCGTTGTGGCTAAGAAGGAACTGAGCCAAAAGGCAAAGCTCTCGATCTATTGGTCCATCTTCGTCCCTACCCTCACCTATGGTCATCAGCTATGGGTAATGACCGAAAGAATGAGATCGCGAATACAGGCGGCCGAAATGAGGTTCCTCCGCAGGGTGTCTGGTCTCTCCTTTAGGGATAGGGTGAGAAGTTCAGATATCCGGGAGGGCCTCAGAATAGAACCGCTGCTTCTCCACGTCGAAAGGAGCCAGTTGAGGTGCTAGGACACCTGGTGCGGATGCCTCCTGGGCGGCTACCCGGAGAGGTTTTCCGTGCATGTCCTACAGGGAGGAGGCCCCGAGGCAGGCCCAGGACTCGCTGGAGGGATTATATCTCTCGGCTGGCCTGGGAACGCCTAGGTGTCCCCCCCGAGGAGCTGGTAGAGGTAGCTGGGGAGAGGGAGGTCTGGGTGTCTCTCCTGAAGCTGCTACCCCTGCGACCCAAACCCTGGACAAGCGGTAGATGATGGATGGATGGATGGATGGATTAGTATGATGTAAGTGTCTGTTCAGAACAGAGATACTTTGACGATGACAATTTCAAACAACATGCCGGACGGAGATCACAAAATGTGCCGAGGGAACCCAACTCCAGTCAGCGAAATCTACTGAGGGGACAGTGGACTGTGAACCCCAGATAAATATCGGGGGAGTGGTACTTGGCTTTGTGTCGCTGATGGAATTTGAATCTGGTGGGAAAATGGAGTATCCCCGAGACAGAAAAGAAAATTTCAAATCCATACATTATTAATTATACAGAAATTTGAAGAAGCTTTCTTTAAATAGCTCTGTATTGACAGAATACAGTGGTAGTGTTGATGTGCTGTGTGCGCAGCGCATATAACCTATAAATGATAGCTGCGCAACTGAATAGATTGGATTTTTATTTAGCTGATGGATTTCTTTATTTGTTATTTGTTTAAGCTTTAATTAATATTAATCCATTTACTCTGTAATTTGATAACAAGAAATGTAGGCATAATTGAGTCACTGGAAGTTTTCTAGGCATTCATATGTGGTGGTAATTTACAGCTTAAGGAGACAGGTGGGTAGGCGCATCAGTGATAGCCGTGGGCGTGAAAAGGGAAGCGCCAGCTCCCGATTGGTCTGTAGTCTGAGTTGTAACGCTGGACGGGAGAAAGTTCCTGCAGACTCTCCAGCTGCAGTACCGCAGGAGGGCCAGCGGAGAGGTTTAGGTGTCTGCAAGTGCTGTTCGACTGGAAGATCGCTGCTTTCTTGCCGAAGAACATCCTCAATTTCCCAAGTAAGAACGAAATAATACGTGATTTTTGTTTATCGGATATCTGGTGTGTAGATTTCCACAAGTTTTGGTTTTCTTGATTGCAGCGCCGAAACTGGCACAAAACCTTTTGGCTGTTTAGTGGAAACATGTTTCAGTCTGACTTAACGTTATGTTTCAGAAACCGTTACAAATACATATATAGTCCGTTAGTATTCGTGCTGGTAAAACATGCGACTGGTTTTACTGCAAGATCTGTTGTTTAGTTAGGATTTTTGGAATTTCTATCGAATGAACAACATTGTTTTGCGCAGCATATAGATACACAGTTAAACACGGGTCGTGTTCTGAGTGAGGACAGTTATTGCAAACATCAATGCATCATGAAAACCTAAGAGTCGATTGTGCAATACTTAATACTTATAGTTGTAACTTTAAAATCGTGCCCAGTTGACCCCCATTGATTATCATGCATTTTATCTCTCAAACAGTAACCGAAAATTGTCGGTACTCAAATTACAGTCTCTGTTGAAATCACTCGCATTTTAACATTCATCATCAAATCTTCTGCGTCGAGGGACTATGACCGCTTCTACGATGCGTAACACATCACGCTGAAAATTTGATCCTGAATTTTATTAATGTGTGAGATGTATAGCGTGGCATTTAGCCGCAAGACGATTCCTGTTTTGTTGGTTTTGGGGGTGTATGTGATGACTGAGATTAAAGCTCTTGAGATTAAAGCACATGTTTTTAAATGGTATTGCATTCCACACAGTGTGTTGTTATTTTACGTCCTTCGTGATTCTAAACAGGCTTGGACAAATAAACTTTTCTCTGCGTATAGGTGATCCGACGTCTACGGTTTTTGACCTTAAAAATAACAGATTACGCATTTTCACTCAGTCATTGGGGGGGTCCAGTGCATTTTAACGAGTTATGGATTTTTAATAGGCTTTCTGGGGGCTGTCACTGTGATTTGATGGCCATTTTCCGTGTGGGAACGAGGTCTATAATCACGCAATTGTTGATATCACGTATCTCTTCCTGTTATGATGAGTATAAATTGGCGGTTTAAAGGGCATTTCAGGACAAGTTAAGTTTTACAATGAGCGACTCCAAAGATGTTTAGTGAGAAGCCATCTGAGCAGAAAAACTGTCTTAGACTTGTTTTTGCCAAGAAGCTGGAAACGTGGTCATTTGAACCAGAGGTGTTATGTGCATGTTATCAGTAATTTAATTGTGATCAGGGGTTTCAGTAAGGTGATGGAGGTTGTGTGTTTCCAGGGATTCACCGTGAAAATACTTTCATATGTTTGTGTGCTGATGCTGGTAGCTTTTTATAAGATCATAAAGTAATTTAATTTAACACGAAAGTAGTTATCAGCATGGTTACATGATTGATATTTGTGAAAGTGGTAAGGCCTCTGAAGGTCTTTGTGTTTTATTAGTGTGTGAAGCTGGTGTCTCTGAATGGCCGCATCAATGACAGGTTCCTGACTTATCTGAACAAAAGGTCCCTGACGATAAACAAAGAAGGTACCAGAAGCCCACAGTCTGAGCCTGAAAGAAAGTCCAGGCATCTCTGTGTAATCCCATGTGTGCTTGGAGTACCAAATACCTGACCTGCTGATTGGCCAGCTGGCATTGCCTCTAAACACCTTGGCCCAGTTGTTTGAAAAGTTTCATTTGGATCAAAATGATCCTGATTGGAACCCTGATTGGCTTTTTTTTTTTTTTTTGACCAACTTTAAAGTTTTATTGCATTTAGTTCCTGAAATCCATGGTAATCCTGATATTTTTGGATCCAAGGTATCCCGATCCTGCTGAAAAGGTTTGATCCAGATAAAAATCAAGACTGGATTATGTGACCTAATCTGATATTTCAGAATCTTTTTTTTCTTTTGAACAGCCCATTTTCAAGATTTGATCCAATCTGAAATCCGATCAGATTACTTCTGTTCAACTGGACCCTGAGATCCCCATTCACAGGACTATTGCTTTACAAATAGCTAACATTCCAGATCACTGAAATAACTCTGTTATCACTCTGTCCCATTCTATGGGTGGGTTGCAACTCCTGTACACTCTGTCCATCTGTCCATCCATCATGCAGCTGCTTATCCCAAAGTACTGTACAGTTCCTGTACAGTCGTTAGTTTAATGGCAAGTAGCATGACATTAAGTCAATTAAGCGCTATTATTGCAATTGAGAGGTACATTTATTATCAGGTATGTATTTTTCTATAAAGAAATAATGTTAACACTTTCTATGAATGCCATGTTTATCAGAATCTATGAACGCATTCATAACACATCATAATGCATTCATAAAGTATTATAAACATGGCTATGAATATTTGTGAAAAGGCATAACACCATATAACCATGTTTATTATGCATTATGCCTGCCTTATGAAGATGTCATCTATAATGCACTATAGATACCTTCTTAATGCAGCACAAAGCATCCTTAATTCTTGTATTGAACGTTATAATGTATTATGAAGGTATGTGTAGTGCTTATGAAGTATTATAACCAACCTGGACCGGACTGTGGCATAGGCAGTATAGGCAAATATTAGGGGCGCCGTTCGTTCAAAAGGGGGCGCCTGGGTGCCCCAGAGGGTAGAAAGGGAACGGGGAGAAAATGAAATATTTAAACTTTTACTATATTTATTTACTAATATTATTTTACATTATTATTTCAAAATAATAAAAAACTTCTAAAACAAGCAAATCTTACCAAATAAGCAGTTTTTTTCCTGTGGTATGCCTGGCACTCCCTTCCCTTCTAATTAAAACAGACATTATCATGTCAGAAAGACCAAAGCCCTCCGGTGCCCAGGGAAGAAAAAGAAGAAAGGAAAAGAAAAAATGACGAAAAGACAGAGGTAATAATCATTAATGACAGTAATTACCTGTTACTGTCTGTGGGCTGTGGAGCAGACTGTTATTAGCTTACTTTGGATAATTAAATAAGCCTTTGCTTATTTAATAAATGATATAATTAATTAATCAATCAATTAACTTAAGTTACTCCCAACGTAAATTCGTCTCGGAAAGTTGGAAATACTTTTCAGGTGTTTGGGAATTTATTTGTATTGTAAATAGCCCCTCGAACCCATGATCCATGATCAGGGGCGTTGCTAGAGATTTTGGGCCCCATGAAAGCATATCATATTAGGCCCCCCAGTCCAAACCAATTCAGTTATTTTCCTAATTTTTTAGGGCCCCTGTCGCTCAGGGGCCCTTGGAATCGTCCTAGCTTTCCTCCCCCTTACGGCGCCCCTGTCCATGATCTTCACAGGCCCAAAGAATTGCACTCTTGCTTTCCGCATCAAGCACACGAGATTATGGATGAATCTCAATACCAAGAACACAAAGACCATACTTGTGGTCTTGGCAAGACCAGTCTTGCGAACTTGCCTTTTCAGAACGAACTTGGGGTGTAATGAATCATGCGATTGGTCTTGTTCCGCAAGGATGCAACTGATGTGCCCTTGATATTTGGGGCCGAGCAAGACCAACATCTGGGGATTTTTACTGTACTCTGTACTTCCGTTCTTAGCATTGGAACTGGTCTTCGGCAATGGGAGATGATGTAAAACAGGTACACAAGAACACAAGTATGAATGAATGAATGATTGAATAATAATGAATAATTTTTATAATGTAAATTAGAGAAGGCACGAACTTGGGGTGTAATGAATCATGCGATTGGTCTTGTTCCGCCGATACCCACATTTGTTATTGGGCCAGTACTGGCAAAAAATACCAGATTGGACATCAGGGAGGTGGGTGAGAAAGAAACCAGTGTGATTTTCCATCACAGGTCTAATGTGAACAATCTCAAAAATGCTTGTAGCCTTTGCATGACATACCGTGAACTAAAGCGTGGGTCCCATGACAGGCGAGCTGTTCAGCAGTGCATGTGCACGGCGCTGTCATGAAGGCTGTGTGTAAATACAGTAAAGGTCCGTTCATACCTCACTCTCCCACATGTGCTTTTGGGTCATGCACAGGCTGAGTGACATAAGTTCCGTCTGCAGGGGTTTGCACTGTGGAATACAGTGACATTTGTATGAGTGATTTCTTTATTATATTATATTTACTCTGGTAGCAGATTTGCCCAATAAGAAATATTTCTGTTAATTTTCGTGAAATTTGTTACTGAATAAAACAAAGAAGCAGTAAATCATGCTGACTGTGGATGTCTTCCTGTAGCGCAGTGACATAGCCTTTGTTTGAGCAACATAACCGTTATATTTCCCTATTCTTAGCAAACTCAAACAATGCCACTAAAGCACTAAAGGCAGATGGTTTACCATATTAACTGAAATGTATTTATACAAATACCTCATATAATGCTTTGTATGATAAAGGGGAAAAATATCATATTGGTATCGGAACTTGATAAACTGATATCAGGATTTTTTTGTACTTTTGAAATGATGAGTTTGTTATTAGGAGCACATGGTAGATTAAGTGCTTTGTTGAAATCCCAGAGAATTGGTCCTGTGGTCTTAATTTTTTGTGTTATGTTCCTATTCAGACCATCTGCACAGTGAAGTCATCCCCTGGACCCCACAATGGCAGTGCGTTGGTCCCTGCTTTGTAGACTGGCCGCCTTGGTCTGTCTCTGGGTCTTGGGCCATACTCAGAGCGAGAACCCCCAGATTCAGCTCCGACTGGCGGGCACCAAACGCAAGCACAACGAGGGCCGGGTGGAGCTGTACTACAGCGGCGAGTGGGGCACGGTCTGCGATGACGACTTCTCCATCCATGCCGCCCACGTGGTCTGCAGACAGCTGGGCTTCCTGGAGGCCACTTCCTGGTACCCATCTGCCAAGTATGGCCGAGGAGAAGGTGAGCCAGCCTGATGGTTTAACTAGCTGCAACTTGGCATTTCAGGAACGCACACATGTCATCTGTGTAAACGGGTCCTTCAGGGATGTTGTGAAAGCAATGTAGAAAATTTAGGTTCTTGGGCAAAGAGCAAATTAGATGCACAATTAGGAGTTTATATGCTGTACTGGGTAAATCATTAACTAAAGTTGTTATAGGCAGAGATATTTTGCAATTATAGTGTTACTGGCACTTGGCTTAAATGAGTTTTCTGTACAGTTTGTAATTAAGTTTTACTGCACCATTATTACAAGACATCTTTTAAAGTTAGTTTTTTCTGTTCTATTTTTAAAAATTGCTATTTATAGAATAATATTAAAACAAACATTCTTGCTATTTGGAAAGGTCCACACCTACGTCATTAGTCTTAAATGTTGTGTGGCTCAGTTAAAGATTCTTGTTTAGATGTGTTACTAATGCTTCCAACTCTGTGGTTGGTTTTGAAAAGTACTTTTAGCAGCCTTCAGAATAATTGTTGTTCACCTATGTCAAGGTTTCTAGACTAAAAGCTTTTGTGATACTCATTGGTCTCATGCCGCAAGTCTGTGCTGGGATACCCTTACATCAAATAGTGTGGATCTGTCGCTGCAGCTTCTCCCTTTCTCTGCCCTGCGGTTATCTGTCAAATTTTATTCAAATCAGTATCATCCCTCAGTATCATAATGTGTCTGTGGGTTTTTGGATGACTAAACTAAGTCCACATTCATTGACTACTGATAAAAATGTTCATATGATCTTTCTTCGGGGAGTGAAACACACAAAGGAACACACAGAACAGGTTTCCTTCACTACTTCGGGAACTAGGTGAGGGGCTTCCCGGGACATCAGATCGTGTCACGCTCAGACAGGGCAGCGGTTATCTGGGTGATGAATGTTCATTTTCCTGTGTCCAACTCTCCTAGGCCACATCTGGTTGGACAACGTCCACTGCACAGGGAGAGAGAAGACACTGGCTGAGTGCTCTTCCAATGGATTCGGGGTGTCTGACTGCAAGCATTCTGAGGACGTGGGGGTGTTGTGTAGTCACAGGAGAATCCCAGGCTACAGGTTCACCGGAGCGTTGGCTAATAACATTGAGGTAAACAATCTCTGTTAATGCACACTTAAGGGTTTCTGCTCCCACTCCTTTAGGTAACGCCACTGGACAGGGTTTCTGCTCCCACTCGTTTAGGTGAACGCCACTGGACAGGGTTTCTGCTCCCACTCCTTTAGGTGAACGCCACTGGACAGGGTTTCTGCTCCCACTCCTTTAAGCGCACGCCACTGGACAGATCTGGCTGTCATTCACATTTTTGGATGGGGTTGGCTTAGTCATGCTAGAACTTGGTTTTGTGAATCTCCAAAAATGAAGAACAGATGTTGAGAAGGGAAATGACTTTTAAACCAAAGTGTTCACAGGATCATTTTGGAGGTTTCTGGGACAAAATTGCTTAGTTATATTCAAAAGTTTTGTTTAGTGGAATTCTGAAGTTCATCGTCCCTTTTTGATTGTTGATTAACTTAATGCTGGTATGTTGTGCATACATCTATATTTTAGCTTCATCTTCAATGTCACATTAAAGCCATGATATATAACATTGGTTGCTTTTGATCTGTGCTGGCAGATCAAGTCCACATTATAGTATACTAAATATCTGTCAGTAGTATTAGGTCTCCTTCACTTTCGATAACTAACACAAGAATTTTGCTACAATAGTAGTGACTGTACAACAAGCTGATTCCAGATACTGTTCCTTGAACGACACTTGATAGGACCCCATTTCACACCCTGATGTGCTTCCGCTGGCTTAAAGAGAGCACAGATCTAAAAAAAGTGCCATCACGAGGAATGAGCTGTACGCCTCAGACCTTGATGGGCTATTTCTGTCAAACCTGAGACCACATGTTACTCTTCAGGGAGCCCCATGATGTTTTTCACCTGTATTTGATGGGCTGGGGTGTGACTCAGAGCAAAGCTTTATCGAGAGGTGTTGCTGTCTGCATGCACTCCAGTGTTTGCACTCCAGTGTTTGCACTCCAGTGCTCACTGAAGGCTGATTGGACTCCCACCACTTCAAGCAGTGCTGTGGAGCATCCCACGTTAAGACCTCACCCAGTCTCCTACGGTTCCCCAAGTGGGGGGTGGAGGCCCTTTTGGTTGAGCCGTCAGTTCTTCTCAGGAAATGGAGCTCCGTTCCGTTGGAGTCAGAAATCATGAAAGCTCTCTCAAGGGCTCATGTATCTGTACATACAGTGGAATGCAGTCTATGAAATGGCAGTCTGGTATGTACCACAAATTGGGAAAATGTCATGGAGAATGATGTCAGGACTGTAAAGGAGAAGGTTATTCAGTGATACTAACTGAAATGTGAAAAAGCAATTGTGCTCCGGTCTGTAGGAGGACAGAACCTCACATGTAGACATAGTGAGAAGGACCTTGGGGTCTGAAGGCTTTTCCTCAAGCCGTCTGTGGAAAAGGCTGAACTCAGCTTTTCCAGCCCCCTCATTTAACTTCCTGCATCTATGGGGAGGGGGTGCTGGTCTGCTGCTTGATCACTTAAGCACTCCCTGCATTACAGCCCTGCCCTCCCCCACTGAGGACGGGGATTCTCACGAGGTGACTCAGGGGGGGGCAGTTCCATGGCAGATTACGGAAACGATGATGATAGCCCCGCTGGGATGGCGGTTACTCACTCACTTCTCCCATCTCGCCTAAGGGTCTTCATGGCTGTCTGGAAATGGAATAGTATCTCGACAGGTCACCAAGTGTGGCACACAGATTTCACCTACCGCTTTTCTGAAATGTAAGCGGCGCCGTAGTCTTCATCGATGGAGTAGCTCTGAAATCTTGAACGTTTTAAAAATCCCACTATACTGATAGTCTTTGTTTTTTCAACCCCACATCTTCTCCACCTTTATGCTAAGCTGTCTGACCTTTTATGGTATGATTCACAAACCAACTAACTAATTCCACTGTATTTCTATTATAGTCACTTTTCTTATTCAGTAGTGCTTTTATCCAAATGGATATATGTTTTTGACAAAGCAGGCCCAACCAAACCCTAGACTAGTTGGTAGTTATGGGCCTTGACCCAGCGACCTTCCGACAGCATCCTAACCCATTGAGCCACACACTGCCCCCATTGATTAGCACGTGACTGAGATCTAAAAAAATAAAATAAAAAATGAATCAGCCTATACACACTCTTTGATTGACTAACAGTTTTAACATGCATACTGTATGACAGGAAGGGGCAAAATTAGACATAGAGGTTTTGCTTTCTGAAGTGGTTAGTAGCTCTAACCACATGAAGCCTCATATGAAAGGTGAACAAACCGCTGGATCTCTAGCCAGGTGGTTAGGCAGCTAAATAGCGGCCCGTGTTAATGCAGGCCATGTTAATGCAGGCCGTGTTAATGCAGGACATGCTAATGCAGGCCGTGTTAATGCAGGCCGTGTTAATGCAGGCCGTGCTAATGCAGGCCGCGTTAATGCAGGCTTTACTGGGGTGCGCGTACTCTGCTGTAACTCAAGACCGAAGTCGCTGGCGGCATCCTTCACATACTCTGCCTTGAGAAATCTATTCAAAAAGGGCGAATGTTTTTGGGAAATCGTTCAAATATATCTTCCCCTTTTTTGCATTTGTTTTTTCACCTCTGCCCCAGTGAGAGAATTTCCCCTTTGGTGACGGAGAGGTTTCTCGGTGAACTCATTTTACGTGTGAGTCACTGTTTAAAATATGTGATGTGTGAATTGTAATATGTGTAAGCAGATTCCCTGCACAAAGGACATTATTAATTTAGATCAGGGCTCTCAAACTCCAGTCCTCAAGGGCCGCAGCCCTGTGTAGCTTAGTTCTTCCCCTTTTCCACCACAAATGATTCAGCTCAAGAGCTGTGTGGTAATTAGCATAAGGAGTTGAATCAGGTGTGTTAAACGAGGGGAAACCCAAAAATGTGCAGGGCTCCGGCCCCCCAGGACTGGAGTTTGAGACCTCTGATTTAGATGCTTTGCTTTCATCCTGTCTGGTGAAAGTATTAAGAAATGTTTACTAGAATCTCTCTGAATCTCAGCCTGAGCTAACATATGGACCTTGGACCAGGTTGACTGTGCTTTCGATCAGCACTGCAGGATGAAATGCTGCTCTTGCTAAAGAACAGTCCACACCACACTTACGGTGGTTTTCCACTGCCACGAAGAACCGAGCCGTACCCGAGCTAAACTGCGAAGAGGTTTTCCATTGTAAATCATGCAGGCCGGACCCGACGTGTAACCTCGCTGTCATGGCGCTGCCTATTAGCAGGGGCGAGAGTGTGAGTGGACCAAGCTGGCCACCATCATCTGATGGGTTGAAGTACATGGAGAGAAGTAAGAATCGGTGACCTGCATCGATTTGCATGGATGATTTGAAGGAAAAACTGACAAATTATATTAATTATTCATTATTAGTCGTATCATACATAGCGCATCAGTCCACGCTAATTCAGTTCTTCTCATTTTTATACTTATGTATTTACCCTTTTGATTGCAACCACATAAAACCAGCTAGGATTCTACTTGTGTGTGGGAATGTGGGTGATGTTGGCCACGCAGGAAGCTGCCGCTCTTGCTGATGTGTCACGGCTGGTCTGATGCAGTAGATGCACTTTAAGGCCAAGGACTGAGGTGGAGTTACTCAGCTTCCTGATGGGGGCGACCAGCCACCTCATCATACACCACCCCGTAGAAGAAGACCTAAATCCACGAGCTGCCAATTGAAACGCATCATAACTTGGAAGATCTTTCATATGAACCCATGTGTTTAGCGGTGTTCCTCATAACACTTGAGAGTAGCTGAAATGCTACGTCATACCTCTGATTCTCAAGCCAACACTTACTACAGTAAAATCCAGTTGTAACGGACTTCAAGGGACCTGCCAAAACAGTCCGTTACATCCGGAGTTGCTGTATGCCCAGAACACAACTACAGGACACCATTTACTCATGCCACACCTCAGCAGACACACTTGTGGTATAGATTATTATATTGTACATGTAGTAGTCCAACTTCACCTGACCAGATGCGTGACTATTAATAATCCCGACTACGTACGTATCTGCGCTGGATATCACCGGCACGCCACACGCCTTGTAGGCGGAGCCTGCATGTCCGTTATAGCCGAACAAAACTACAGCTAAAAGCGGCCCTGGGGACCAAATTGTTTGTCCGTTATAAGCGAAATTCCGTTATATGCGAGTCCGCTATATCCGATGCTTTATCTGCATGTTCTTAAAGCCGCACGGCTGGGACCAGCGGACCTCGTCCGTTATCGACGATATTCCGTTATAAACCAGTCCACTATAACGGGATATTACTGTATTAATAAAAAATATACCTTAAGGGCAAGAACATCACTTTTTAAGTTTGATCTGAGTGCTCATGTTTTAATTATGAGCATGTGAAATATGAGAGGTAGATATCCTAAGACCGTGACTTTGTGTCAAACAAATGGTACGTTTGTGTACTGAAGTCATGATAAATCACCATGTCTCTGAAGAACAGAGTAACTAATAACCTACAATCAGTCATTCTTGGTGCTGAAGATGTCACAAAACAAGATTCCACATATGATAGAGCTCGCGTGAAGCTGGACTGATGGAATGATGCGACTGTTTGAGTTTACCTTTTAATTAGGCATTTTGTGAGTCTGGGTACAATGGCCTTGCAGACAAACTTGCTTCCTCCTCTAATATTTCAACATTTTTACACTAATTGACAATTTCAGACTACAGAATAAACAGTATACCACCAGCAATATATCGCAAATCTTACAGATCCTGGGCAATGCAGGGACTTGTCTGAGGTGCACTGTTTCGTTCATAAGATCGGTGTCATTTAGCCAAGGGGAAAAGCATGAACTTGGACTCCTCTTTTGACAGAAACACCCCTGGGCCCTTGTGGGGTATTTGAAAGTAAAGGTTTCGATCTTCTGTCAAATTCACTAACAAACAAGCGACGCCCAGCTTGCCGTTTGGAGCCAGTGTTCGGCCATTAGATGTGAGTGATCCTGCTTTTTATTTCCTCTGTTAGAGCACTAAATTGCATATTTATTGGTTTT